ATAGATTGAGAAGGGGAAGATAGACAATAGAAATAGATGATAGATAAATGATAGATAAGTAAGTAGACAGAAAAGGAAATAGGGAGGGAGGGAGAGAGAGAGAGGAGAGAGAGAGGAGAGAGAGAGGAGAGAGAGAGAGAGGAGAGAGGAGAGAGAGAGAGGCTGAGGGGCTGGAGAGATGGCTCAGCAGTTAAGGTTCACTTGTTCTTTCAGAGGACTGGATTTGGTTCCCAGTACCCACATCCAGCAGCTCACAACCACCTGTAACTCCAGGTCCAGAGAATCCAACACCCTCTCCTGGTCTCTTCAGGTACTTGCACATACCTGTGCATACACACATACAAAAATAAATAATAGATTTTCATCCCCACCGAAGATCTCTGATCTCTCTCTTTCTCTCTCTCTCTCTCTCTCTCTCTCTCTCTCTCACACACACACACACACACACACACACACACACACATGCGTGTGTGTTTCTGTTGGGTGGAGTGTCCTGTGGTATTAGCTATTGGGTTCCAGAGCTAAGTAAAAACAGGGTGAGCAGTGGAACAGCTCTTCTGTGCATAGCAGCCCCTGTCCCTGACTCCACTCACCTAGGAACCAGGGGAAGGGCTTCTGCCCTAATCCATCTGACCTCAGTCTCCAAAGACAGAGGGAGTGAACAGTACAGGCTCTGGAAGGCTGTGAGGTTGCATGTCCTCTCCGTGTGGATGGGGTGTCTGCTCAAGAATTGGGGTTGCAGCTTTGGTTTAAAGACACACTGTGCAGAGAGGCCATGGCAGGTAGGCAGGGGCAGCAAGGGACGCAGGGCTCTCCCATCCTGAGCTTCTACAGTTCAAGGGATGCAGGCCTCTCCTGTCCTGAACTTCTACAGTTCAAGGGACGCAGGCCTCTCCTGTCCTGAACTTCTACAGTTCAAGGGACGCAGGCCTCTCCTGTCCTGAACTTCTACAGTTCAAGGGACGCAGGGCCAGATGCACTGTGACATCCTGTGGGTACTTCAGGCAGGGGTACCTTCTTCCTTGGGCAAGGACTGGACCAGCATGACAGGACCTAAGAGTGGGATTCCGGGGTGGAGCCAGGACGGGCGCCCCCTTCTGGGAGCCACACTGCAGGAGACTTAAGTTCCTTCTTAATCCAACCTCCTTCCAATCAGTGTAGTTCCCTCACACAGGGGCGGGGCCCACACCTGCCAGGTTTATTCAAAGACTTGGTTTCTCTAAACTACCTTTCTATTACCTGCTACCCAAAAGAGAGAGAGGCCAAGAGAGGGATGGGCAGAGGGGGAAGAGGTCACAGGGTCTCCACTCTATCAGGGCAGCACCAGGCACACAGAACACAGCCTGAAAGACCCCAGATCTGCCCGGGTGCATAAGCAGGAGGGAGAAGTGAGTTCAGGCAGCACCTGGCCAACACACAGGGGCAGCTAAGGATGATGGGGTAGCCCAGAGTCACAGCTCCCCACATGCCTCGGGCTTAAATCCAATACTCTCAGGCCTTTTCTGTTTTGCAATTATTTTTTACCTACAAATGCAGCACATTTTATTTATCTCTATTACCATGGTTCTGTGAAGGCTTTCAACCCTAGAATAGTGGTGCCCAGGCTCAGTGAGATGTGCACTCCCTTGTTGACAAGCAGGCTCCTGGAGACTTTGTAACAGTGTGGAAATCTTGCAGCTGGTGCACTGTGTGGAAATAAGATTTAGAATTATACATGGTATAAGTTGAGCTAAAATATTTATTGAAAAATGCAATTTAATATAAAATTTAACATGACAAGATGCAATTTGCTATATATACACTACATATATGTAGTCTCTTTTTACATCACATATACAAAGAGCTTAATAGAAAAAATGTTTGGCCAGTGAGATGGTTCAGCAGCAAAAGCCTGTCAACCTGAATTTGATCATCTGGACCTACGCAGTGGAAAGAGAACAAACTCCTGCAAGTTGTCCTCCGACCTCCACAGATTTGCCAATATACACACAGACAAAATAAAAAAAAATAGGGGCTGGAGAGATGGCTCAGTGGTTAAAAACACTGGTTGTTCTTGTAGAAAACCCGGGTTTGAATCCCAGAACCCACATGGCAGCTAACAACTGTCTGTAACTCCAGTTCCAGGGGATCCGACAGTCTCTTCTGTTCTCTGTGGGCATTGCACGACACGGGTGCACTTACCTACATGCAGGCAATACACACATACACATAAAATAAAAACAATAAAATATAAAAAATGATGATTTTAAAATTGCTGTGGAGGTAAGGTCGCCCTTAGGTTTGCTTTGGACTCACTATGGTTTTCTGTATTTTCAAGATATTCCATACTAATGCATTTATAAAATAACAAGAATAACACCCCTTTTCAAAGCACAGCCTGCACAGGGTACCTCTAGTTTTCGTCAGTGCCAGGGGCTTCACCTGCCACCACCTGACCTGGCAGCTGGCCTCTTCTCTTCCCCACGCGCTGGCTGTCAGAGCATCTGTGATATCTGTGAGTACTGACAGCCATCACTCTTGATTCCAGATCCATCCAGGACCTAGCTTCTGACCTCCAGCCTGAAGTCTCCAACCCTGACAGAGACAGATCTTCCCAGGTTCCCTGGGAGACTTCAGAGCCACTCTGAAAGAGATGAATGGATCCCAGTCTCACAAGTCTGGGACCTCACACATGCTGTCCTTCACGGTGTGGGAATTCTGGGGGAACTCACCTGCTGCTATTCATGCTTCTGGAACTCAGGTGTCAACCTGCCAACCCCTCCTCCCTTCAGCATCTGCCAGCCTCCAAGGAGGTAGCTTGCTTTCTTGGCCCTCATCCAGGGTTCCATCATGTCGCCAGAATTCCCAGTGGAGAGGACCTGATAGGATCCTTCAGAGAGACAGCTTGGTAGGTGGGCTGGGAGCTGTCGGAGGAAGCAGAGGCCCCTGAGGGAAGCCTGAACCTGGACCTCCCCGACTTCCCCAACTCTGAAGGTCCTGCAAGGAAGCATTTGGATCTCTTTTTTTCCCTTCAAGATTTATTTTGAGCTCACTTATAAAAACAAAATAAACTTTAAAATTTTTCTCCAGGCTGCAAGATCTTCCAGGGCTCTCTCTCTAACACCTCACCTTACTTAAAGGTGATACACAGAGCAGAGCCCATTAGCACTTGAGGATAATTAACACGTTTTCTCCTCCTGTGGATGGTGTCCCGTTTATGAGGCATTCTGTTTCACTTTAGCTAGAAATGTCTGCTGGTTTTTCTTAAATATAAAGGAGAGATTCAGGCTGTCTTTACTGGCTAGGAGAACTTAGGATGTTGTACATAAACCCTTTATAAAACAAACTTCCCACTGATGTTTGTAGGAAGATGAACAGCATGCGTTGAATGGGGGGGCAGTCTATGTCCTTTGTAGGTGGACCCCTGATTGCTCTGACCAGTACGTACACATGTCCACTGTACCCCACATCCCTCCAGTGGGCAGCCTCAGGTCAAAGAGGGCTGGTCTCCTGGCTTCTGGACCTCAGGCAGGACATTGGCTGATGTTGGAGACACCTTCGGTGTCATGTAGCTTCTATGTCTTTGTCCCTTAAGCCATCCTCATGACACACAAGTGACCTTCACATGAATGGTCATGGAGAATCCTCTGAGATAACCACGGGAACGAGGACCTCCGAGAGAAGTGCCTGTCACATGCACAGGGCACAAAGTTGTTGTTGGATTATGCTGAGGCAGAGCTGTGATGGGGCCACCAGGAGCCTATGGGAGGATTTAAACTCTCTTTAGCCACCTCTAGCAATTAACCAGTGAGAGTTGGTTTAATATGTCACCCAGAATTCAGCACAGAATATGGTGCAGAAAACAAGCTCAACACATCAAGACACCTGGACAGCTGAGCCAGTGACATATGGCAGCAGAAGTGTGCTTTGAGGTTCTTTGGGAGCACTCTCTCATGTTTTCCAACTCTTTTGGCATCAGGAAGTGCCTAAGGTGTCCAGGGATTAGGGCACAAGCAGCCCAGGGAGGGGCTCACTTGTACTGCACCCAGCAGCCAGAGAGGGCCTCACCTGTCAGCCAAACTGACTAGCATAAGTGAGAGTGTGTGGGAGGGTGAGACTTCCCCCAGACCATGAGGCACCCACAGATCTGAGCTGGCCTCTGTCAATTCCAGGAGGGCCAAGGGCCTAGAGCTTTGCTTTTGCCGAGACAGCAGCATGCAAGATGGACAGGGCCGCTAGAGGTCTTCCGTCTCCTGCAGTCAAACCGCAGGGTCGCAGGCAGCCTGTTCCACTGCTTGTTGAGGGGTCACATTAATCTGCCTAGCAATTGCAGCCCCATACCTCTCAGTCTGTGAGCTTCAAGATCAGGATGGCCAGGAGGCATAGTGAGTGCATGGGTGCAGGCTTCCACGGCTAGTACCAGAGCTCTCATCTGCAGAGCTTTCGGGTTGTAGGTGGGCAACACAATCTTGCCAGTACTTTTGCATCAGAGAGAAACTTGCTAATTGAAAAGTAGTTTGCATGGAGGAAAGTAGTGAGGTGCCAGCTATGTAAATCAGCATATGCCAAGATCTAAAAGAAACCCTATCAGGACAGGGGGGCGAAGAAACCCTGGAAACGTATTGAAAGCAGCTGCGTGCTCTGGTTTCTCTCAGGAGCGGCTGCTCACTAGGTGAGGGGTAAGGACGAAGCCGAATGCCTGACCTAGGTGTGTCTCTGGGTGTAGGTGGGTGGGCTGCACCCATCCGGGTCAGGCAGGCTTCTCAGACAAGCTCTAAACGGTGTGGATCTTAACACTACCTTCTGCTTGGTGCCGGGAAGTCCGGCCAAGTGCTCCCAGGCAGAGCTGGGTTTGTGGCCGGATGTCTTAGGATTTAGGGTTCCTTAGCTCAAGGTAGTGTTTGCTCTGCTGTTCCGCGAATTGCCCAGGACTGATGTGGGCCTGGGAGCAGGCGCTAGGGGTTGAAATCAAAGGACCAGGAAGAAGAGACCTGGCATGCAACCCGCCCTGTCTCCGCCAGCGAGGTCTGCACAGCGGCTGGAACGAGCGCCGTCTGGCGGAGACTGCGTTTGGCCAGCTCGGAGCCGGCAGGCGCTGGCTATGGGGAGCTCTGATGGAGTGAGGCTCCTGGTAGGAAGGGTCTGTCCTTGACCCAGACACCGGGGTGCAGCGGCAGAGCGGCTTATGGTGAGGCATAAGGAACACGGCTCTCTGCCTAGGGAAATTACAAGACGTGTTCACGGGGGCCGAGCTCTAGACAAGAGGCCGTCTTGTGCAAAGGCCCCGAGTCCACCGGCCCGGTGCGTTGCGCTAGAGCGAGGTGGGGGTTGCAGGGGTCCCTGGGTCACGCGGAGTCACAGACAGACGCTGAGGCCAGCAGACATCAGACGTGAAGGACTTCAGACCCTGTACAGAGACTCCGTTTAAGGGCATGGTGACTCGCTACGGGGTCAGGAAAGTGTCTGGCAGATTTATCCGAGAGAGAAATCGGCCCGTGCCTAGAAGAGTCGGGGGCCCACCTGGCGGCGGCGTCCGCAGTCCTGTTTTCCCTCTGGGCCCTGCGCCCCACACTCTCCTTAACGCAGGTAGATCGCGCCGGCGCCCCCAGCTCAGCTCGCCCGTGCGAAAGGAGCGCGGGGCCTGGATTCCCGGTGCGCGCCTCCTTCCGCGCCCGGCGCACCTTCCAGCGGACCCCGACTCCGGAGCGGGCGGGGGACGGGGGGGGTCAACGGGCCGAACCGGGGGACGCCCGGCCGTCGCGCCCCTCGCCCGCCCGCGCCCTCCCGGCACCGCACCCGCTCCCCGCGGTCTCCAGGGTCCAGGGCGGGGGGCGG